CTCTCTCTCTCTCTCGTCTCTCTCGCTCTTTTCTCTCGCTCGCTCTCTCGGCTCTCTCTCGGCTCTCTCGCTCTCTCTCGGCTCTCTCTCTCTCTCTCGGCTCTCTCGCTCTCTCTCGGCTCTCTCTCTCTCTCTCTTTTTCTGCTTGAGAGGGGTACGTCTATGTTGGTGGTGAGGCAGTGGTGGTGGTGGTGGTGGCGGATGGATTTGCGTTGCGGGGGGGAAGGGGCGAACGGCTGCTGTAGGTGCTGATGTGGGCGGTGGTCGTTAACAACACGAGCTGTTCAACAACGGGTTGACGTCAACACCCCCAGCTGGCCGCCGCCTGCCTTTGGCCGTCTGAGCTGCAGCTCTTGATATAGATAGAGCGGGGGGACTGCGGACGGCTGCTTCTCCGAAGGACGGGGATGAAGGTGGGCGCACCTCGATGACGGCCCTCACCCGGCCCATCAACTTGACTCACCAGCGCTCGCTCGTTCACGTGCCGCCCTTCGCGGACTAGATGTCGGAGCCCATCAGCCCCGAACACCCCCTCTACGCCCAAATGATCATGCAACAACAACAGGCGGCCTACGATGCCTACTATGCCCAGCTTCATCAGGTTTGATACCGGCCATGCTTTGCGTCTATTCCCAACACCTCGCTCAGCACTCATGCCACATCTTGTTTGTTTGTGTAGGCACTCTCCGCCAACACGTCTCCCCCGGTGGTCCAGCCACCTGCCGAAAAAACACGTTGGTCTCAGCCGCATTTCTCAAGCTCTCGCCCCGACCCTTGATTCCCGAGATCATCTCGTTCACTCGTTGTTCTTTATCATGCAGATCATCTCACCCGGCACTTGCTCGTAGCGCACGAAGCGGCCATGACCGGAGATGGTGAAGCCTTGACAGCCCTTTTCCGCAGCAATCCTCAAGCGCTCTCTGCCCCGGTACAAATGCCTGCTGTCCTGTCTCTAGCACACACCGACCCGCATGCCCACCACTCCACTCCGCATTCGCTGCTCGACCAACAGCTGGCCATTGAACAGTTGTGACGTGGTTCAATAGGATGACCATGGACGCATGCCCCTGCACTACGCCGTGGCCTACGATCAAGCTGATGCCATCAATGTCTTGTTGCAGGTCTTGTCTTGCTTGATTGTTCTCCTGTGGTGAACGGCCAGATCATCGGCTGATGATGTCCGCCCCCGCACCGCTCAGGCACGTGTCAAGGTCAATTGCGGGGATGCCGAGGGCCGAACGCCACTGCACATGGCAGTGCATCAAGGCAATGTCGTCATGACCAAGACGCTGCTGGCTGCCGGTACGCCTCGCCATGATTGTCAGCCATGTGTTCTGGCGCGTGGCACCAGACCCCGGTGACCCTGCTTCACCTCATGATGGCTCCCTGTCATGATGTGTATCGTCCAGGTGCCAAGGCCACGGCCCGCGACGCACACGGCCGGATACCGCTGCACCTCGCCGTGGCACCAAAGGTCCGGTCCGCCTGCAGTAGATGGCTCTTTGCTGCCGTTACGCTTCGCCAGTTGCTGTGTTCCTCACGCTGGTGTCCTTGAACCAACGCTCGCCCCAGGGCACGGAATGCGCCAAGTTACTCCTCTCGACGCCCGCGCGCAATCAGATTAACCAAAAGGATATGCAGGGCATGACGGCTCTTCATTGGGCAGGCTACCACAAGCGGCCCAACCACACCAAATATCTCCTGCATAAAGGTGCCGACGAAATGGCTCGTGACAGTGAACTCAAGGTTTGTTCTGTACCGTCCAGGCTCCCAAACCCCATCGCGCTTAAAAGTGGGACATGCGGCCCCCACTTTCACCAATACAGCTCCGCAACCTCTCAAAACTTCATCACCCACCGCTGGCCCTCATATTCGATAGTCACCACTACATTGGGCATGCCAAAACGGTTCACCCATGTGCGTGAGCCTTCTCCTTTCCAGGTGAGGATCCCACAGCCTCGTCCCTTGTTGTTCTTCTGGGCCTTGCTCGGCCTTTTGACCTTGGCGTCGGCCTTGACTTGTGCGTTTGCCGTGCATAGCCACTCAGCAAGTCTGGTCAACGATCAAGACAGCACTGGTACAACGCCGGCGCATCTAGCCGCTGGCAACGGGCATGCAAATGTGCTCAAGGTCAGCCCTCGCAACCTAGCCACCTGCCTGCTGACGAGCTGGTCGCACAAGTAAGCCTTGGCACATGACTGCCACTCAACCTCCACTCTTCCTCAGGTGCTAGCAAGGTGTCCTGGAATCGCTCTCGATGCCTGTGATCGCAATGGACGGACTGCACTGCACTGGGCAGCAGCAGCGGGGCATCAAGCTTGTGTCGCTGCCCTCTTGGCCTTTGGTGCTGACCCCTCCATCGTGGATCAGAATGGTGCCGTAGCGCGTGATTATGCCATGCGCAGCCAAGCTCCCAATGCACAGGCGATTGCACACGTATGTCGTCCACGGCGCCAACCCTGGTTTCAAGTCGGCAGACTCTGATTCTTATCATCGTGTTGTGGTCACCTCATGCTTGATAGGAACTCTTCACCGCAGAGAGCCAGCTTGAGGCTGGAGATTTTCAACTCCATCGCTTCCGCACGTACGCCGCTGCATTCAAGGCTCACGCCGCAGTCTTTTGTGGTTGCGCTGCATTGACCCATGTTTTGTCGATTTGCCCATGCATCTTCACCTATCCAGGAATCTGAAAGTGCCAGATGAACTCACCGAAGTGGATGTTCTCAAAGTGCGTGCCATCATTCCCATTCTCTCCTCCCTGTCCTGGCAGCCATTGATCTTGGGCACCACCTGCCATTCTTGACTTCATTACATGTGCCCAGCCATCGCCGCGAAGCCAAGGCATGGCAAAGGCTCTTGGAGCTGAGGTGGGGCACAGTGGGCGCGTCGGCGTTAGTACTGTTGCTGCTGCGCAAAATCACCATGCTCCATCCGGGACCAAAGGCACGGTCGATTCTGAGGTAGATCTACAGTGGCATCCAACCCGAAATTCTGATTTTTGTGCTGTTTTGCGCAGCTCACGCGAGCGGAGGATTCTGCATAGGGGATGCGGCTCTTGGTCCAACCACCATCCCGCAATGATCTCCGAGGCTGGCGGGAAGCTTTTGAAGCACAGACAGCACTCGCCACGCGGCAGCAACAACTCCTGGCTCGGCAAGAAACAACTCTCCAGGAACTTCAGGCACAGCTGCAGGTTGTGAGCCAAAGCAATCAGCCCGTTCCACCAAACCTCAGCGACACTTTGGCCCAGCAACTTGAAGCGGAGAACAAGAGGCTTTCCGAACAGGTGCTCAGACCATGCTGCAGCGGAGCAAAGCCCCGCCCTTCCCCCGTGGACATTGCTCTTCTTGTTATTGATCCTCCTTGTGCTTCATCCGCATAGGTGGCCGCGCTACAGGACAAGTTGGACTTGGCTGAATCACAGCTGGTGAGATGCAATTCTCCTCCTCCAAGCATCCACTTTGTGCTGAAAGTGACACTGGCATGTGTGGCATTAGATCAAGGCTAAACGACGTGCTAGTAGTGCGCCGCTGGACAACGCGAGCGCACAGCAGCGGACTCAAAAGCTTGAAGTGAGCGGCCCCCGCTTGTCCTTGACTTGTGCTGCTACGTGGTCGTAATTAAAACCCGGGATCGTGTGGTACTTAGGCCGAATTAAAGGCTGTCAAGGCGGCCAATCGACGCGCGCGTGAACGCATCAAACTGCTCGAGAAGGTCAGAAGATATCGGCTCGGTTCTTGGCTTGGCTGCGTGCATGCGCATGCTTTCTGTGTCCAAATCTGACCTTGCTTGCTTCTTGGTGCATTGCCACAGCGACCCTAGGTGGCGGACGCTCTCGCGATTTGTGTTTGTACTGTCGTGCCGTGCGCATGCTTTTACCATGGGATTTGAGCTAGATCTCCCTCTGTCTCTGCTATTGGGCCTTTCGAGCTACAGAGTTTGTTATTTGCCATTTTAGGTAGCCAGTTCTTATTTACATATACGCAACAAAAATACCCCAGACCCCCTGCCCCTTGTTTTCGGTTTTTGGTTTGTTTATTGCCGACTCATCGCTATCCAGACCTTGCACATGTCGAGTGGCGCTTTGCTTGTTCCCATTCGAGTGGCTTATCCTTCTTGTGAGTTTTGCCAGACATGCTAATTTGACATCCGCATAGAAAATGTGCCCTTTCGGCCGAACATCTAACGCGCCCTGGCGCGGCTGCATGCAGTTCTTTGATTCAAAAAGGGAGTGTACAAGGTCAATTATCGGGCGCTTATGTACAACAGGTTAAAGTCCAACACGACTGGGGCTTGCCAACGAAAGCCTACACAACCAACTCCAGGCAATGAACATCAACCAAATTCTTTGACAACTCGACAGCAAATCGACAGCAAGCCGCCAGCACAACTTTTACTGTGTGCATGACTCGAGAGCTGATGGCACACTCTGCGAAGTGGATGAGCCTAGAATTATGGTTGCCCAGCATGGCGGCGCTGGCGAGGGCCGTTGTAGCGCCTACCACGATTTGCACCAGGGCCGCCAGGCTGCTTGCGACGGTCCTGAAAGTGGTAGCCACGCTGCAGTGAGGTGGAGAGAGAGACCTGCAGCCATTCGTGAAGGCGTGCTGGCGGAAGCGGAATGTGATCCATGGCCACCAGGTATTCGTTCCACTCGGTCATGCGCTCAGCCTCCTTGCTGGCCTGCAGGATCCTCTCCACCAGCGCTTCGGCCGGCACACCAAAGCGAGCGTCACTGCTGAGTAGCTGCGCATGTAGCTCACCGCGAGACGTCACCACTGCGGCCATATACTTGGCAAACAGACTGAGACTACGCGAGACAGCAGTGTGCTCAAAAGACTTGCTGAGACGCTCGTCCATGGAGCAACCGTCGGGATAAGCCAGTGCTGGCTCGTTCTGGACCATCCAGCGCACGTTGCGGATGAAGGACTCCTCGAGAAAGGCGCGTGATAGCTTGTCCCATGAGCAGCTGGAGAAGGGCAGCAGACTGAGCAGTGCGCCCAGGTTGGGCTCGCTCTTCTTGTGGCGGGCTTGCTCGCCACAATAGATAAAGCTCTGGATTCGGGCCGTAATGCGCTCAGCAATGCTAGGTCGCTCCTCGATGAGACGGTGCAGCAGGCGCCAGATCTGCAAATACCCCTCGATAAGTCGAGCGGAGAGGCGTGTGCGCGTGTTCATCTGTCGGCGGGACGTGTCCTCGCTGGCACGGAAGGCCTCGGCCACGGTGGAAGAGAGGAGCATGCCAAAAATCTTCATGACGAGACGCTCACTGATAGTGGAGCGAACCGTCATGCGCGCAAACTCTCCCAGCTCTGTATCGTCATTCATGTCCATCTGCAGCAGCGTTGCGTTGATCAAGGGGCGGGCACGTTTGTAGTGGGCCTCATTAATGTAGAGGGGCAGGAAGTAGTTCATTTCCACCTTAAAGATGCTCTTGCGAAAGCCCATCTGCCAGGCCTCATAGCTGATATACTCACAGGGCGTGCTCACAGACATGAGGCCTCCGTGTCGATTGCGCTTCACATGAATGCCAATACCCAGGATGGCGTCGTTATCCGGCTCGAACAGGTGGCTGGCGTTTTCCTGAGTTGCAAAGCAGCAAATATCTCGAAGAATCTGCTGGCGCTGCTCACCCGACACTGGGCCATCAATCGTATTCACATCCAAGTTGGGGTGGGCAGCGATGTGGCGGCGCTGTGCCACGTGCTTCTTGTTACAAGTGTCGTGTCCTGGTGCCTTGGCTGCACCCGAATGTTTGGTGACTGCGGCGGCATAACTGAAAGTGACCGGTGGGGCTGGGTCGGGCTTGGAGGGCTGGTCCGCTAGATCGCTTGCCTCATCACTGTTGCTGGCAGCTGTGATGTCGGTCTGCTTGTCTGCACTCACGGCTGGGTCTAGTGCGCAGTTGGTCCCTGCTGCGGGCGCGACAAGCTCGTTTGGTGGCGTGACGTCACCGGCGGAGATGCGCTCTTCTTGTGAAGACGGCACGTCGATATCCGCGTTGCATGGGGGCTGCCATGTTGTTGTATTGGTGCCAGAGTGGCCACAGGCACACTGCACCTTCTGTGCAGCGGTCCGGATGCTTTCGAGGTCACTGGGGCTATGGTCGCTGTCGTAAAAGAGGAAGGCGTGGATGTTGAGCAGGACAGAGCGCATCGTGTAGGCGGGCGACCAGCTGGCAACGTCTTTGCTCCAATCGGTGTGGATCTCGTTGTAGTCTGAGAGAATGGAGAGACAGAGGCGGCCTTGGCTGTTCTCGACACCGTGCTTGTACCGGAGGGTGGAGTGGAAGCTAGCAGATGGGGCCCTCATGGGGAAGTCTTGGGGAAAGGTAAAAGTGGCGTGGATGGCCGTATCATGCAGCTTATGGTCGGCAGAGAAAAAGAAATTGACGTGCCATTCCAACATGTTGTCTTCGCAGGCAGTGACGGCGAACAGTTCAGAGGGCTCACGCATGATTTCGCGCAGATCGCGGCGCACGCGCCGCAGCGCTATGGATGCCATGTTGCTGGTCTGTCGCGCCTTTTGTGCTGATGGCTCAAGGTGGCTTTTGGTAGAGCAAAGAAGGTGGCGGGCTATCAAAAGGGCAAGGGAGCCAAGTTCACGACGCCAATGTGGTGTGAATGTGAACGAACAATGCCAGGAAGAAAATGGGACCTGTCGCCGGCGTCTTGCCACGGTTCTGACCATCGCGATCACCTCTTCCACACAATGTTCCACATCCCCACGAGCGTTTTGGCAACACTTGGCTTCTGCTTCACAGGCCAAAGGCAAAGGGCAAGGGCGGCTTGCGTGTGGAGGGTGGGGAGTTCAAAGCGCAGGGTTGATCTCAGCCCAAGCACTCGTTTGTATGGGGCGCTTCACGCCAGCCAATACCTCACAAGCATACTCGAAAGAGATCGGCTCGTATTGTCAGCACGTCAGAGGATCGGTCTTTGCACCTTGTGCTTATCTCCAGCCATTATACAAGTTGTTGATGCTGACAATATGGATTGTGAAGAGGAAATGAAGGATATTGAAGATTATGGGTGAATTAGAGCATGTATAGTGTATAATATCTATGAGTTTATGCTAGTATTCATCAACTTAAAGTAGATATACGTGTAGTTGTTGGTGTTAGTTTGTGTAGTTACCGTGAGTCGTCATGATGTGTGAGTAACTTGATCAGCAATGAAAAGGCTGCGGGCACGCGACTGATATTGGCCCTTCGAGCACCTTCGATTCACCACGTCAGAGAAAGGGTTTGGCGTGCTTCAGCGGCCGGTGAACGCTTGGCGCGTTTGATAAACATGTCGATACGTGACCATTATCATCCTCTTTCAAATTGGGCAATCTCGCTGGCAGCCCCAATCCCCTCGCCAGAAGGATCGTGGGATCAATATCGGCGGTGAAGAGCACACGAAGCAAAAGTGTTTCCTTTGCAAAATAAGATTTTTGTTAAGTCTGCAACACGCGAAAGACGTTGGAGGGCACTCGGGAGGGAAGGGTGGACAGCAAGACAACCCGCCATTAGCCAGCAGCCGAAAAGCTAAGAGACACGGACACCACAACTAACACAGAGCCCAACAAGCGCGCGGAAGCTCGTGATGAGCTCACGACGCGCTGAGCTGATCGAGACGGAATACAACAAGAGAAAAGAGAAGAGGAACAAGGTGAAGAAAGGTAAGGGAGTAATCCTAAGCGGCTGCCTGCCACAATGGGCGAGGCAATGGCAATGGCGCCTCTAAACCCTTGGACGATCCTTTCCAGGGAGAAAGGCCAAGAAGCAAGGTGCAGAAAGACAAGACAAAAGAGACAAAAAAAAAAAAAAAGGAGGAGGAGAAGAAGAAGAAGAAGAAGAAGAAAAGGGAAGACGGTCGACTTGCAAACGACCTCAGGTGGCGTCCAAGGCCAGGTACACGAACGAGACGGGCGACAAATGACAAGACACAGACAAAGCGATGGATGGTTTCATCAGCAGAGCCAATGGCGCGACGCTTAGTGCTTCTTCTTCTTCAAGGACTCAACGACAATGATGGCAATGATGCCGGCTACGACGGCCACAATCACGAAGAGGCACAGAGCCTTGCCTCGCGCGGATTTCTAAGGCGCAATAACCAAGGAGAAGAAGAACACACGAGAGGAAACATTGTGAGATCGATGACCAACCAAGCCCAGATGAAGGGGTCGCGGAGAAAACACGAGCGTGCCAAAAGACCGCTCGAAGACCTGACGTGTAGCGCATGTGGCGCAGGCATGGCCATGTCAAGCAACCATTACCTGGTATCGCGAAGCGCGAGTCAGCTCTTCGACACCCTGTTCGGTACGACTGGCCGTCGTGGTCAAGTTGGCCTCGATTGAGTCTGCAGGGCGGCAATCGTGAGAAATGGCAAGCTACGGATTCTGCGAGTCAACGGTGGTCACAGCGGACGGCTGGGAGAACGCACCCAATTGATCACCCTGCTCTTGCACAATCTGCGCCAAATCTTTGAAGATGTCGTTGACCTCCGTCCTGGATTGAAGAGAAGAGAGGCATGAGACGCGAGACTGTCGCACAAGGCGGGGTCGGCACTTGTGTCCAAGCACACACGTACATTTGAGACTCGAGTTCGCGGATGCCTTGGTTGCGCTCTTCAATCTGGGCCGTGCGATAGTCAACCTCCATATCCAGTTGCTGTCGGCGATCGTCCTCGATGAGGGACTGCTTTTCCTCGGGACCCTGACCGTAGCCCACCGACTCGGCCCGTTCTCGGGAGATGGTGGCCTGCTCCTTCTGCAGGACGGCCTTGTAGGCCACCTTGAACTGATTAGCCACGGCCTCTAGATCCTTGCGCATCTTAGTTTGCTCCAGGCCACGATTCTTGCGCTCTGATGCTGTGCCGCCGTCCAAGCGGCCAAACTGCGAGCCATGGCGGCCAATGCCAAGATGTTTTGTCAAAGCAAGTTGGGCTAGAGTGGTGCAGCGCCGAAATGGGTGGGTGGCGCGTCACGGAGCAGCACCGGGCTAATACGCTGACCTGCTTGATCATATCGGTAGTCTCACGAATAATATCTTTGCAATCTTCGACGAGATCTTGGAGCTGGTGGTGTTGCGTTGCACAGCAAGGCGCAAATAGGTGTGAGGAGGTGGAGCATGAGTTTGATCCACGGAAAAGGAGCTGAGCCGTATTCAGCAAAAGCTGCGCACGCCACCATCTGTTCCCTCGAAAAGAGACAGGATGGAAAATAAAGGAGGAAGATATAGTCACCGACACGAGCAAAACGCTCGCGCCACAAGAGCCGTGGCCAACGACCCGCTTTGAAAAAGGTAGTTTGCACACAAAACGACCCTCATGTGACAGTAAATCTGGCACAAAAGTCCCCCTCGCCAGTCTCATGGTAAAGAGACGACAAGGTCTTTGAATGTGCGGTCCACGAAAAAAGACACAAACGACACTGGCCTCGAACTGAAACCAACCTGTGACATGGTCTGGCGGCCATCACCGCGGGTGCCGACCACCCGGGTCAGTTTCTCAATGTTGCGCACTATGCTCAAGGTTGAGGCAGAAGCGGGAGGCGTGAGCGACATCGGGCGAGAAGAGCGCTAGGTCAGAAAGGCGGGGCGTCTAGCTCCAGAAACACCAGACGAGGCAATGTAGAAAATCGGCCAAGCTACCTTTCTTCTGGATGGAGAAGATGTTGGTAGTGATGGTCTCGCTGAGACGGATGTATTCCGTGTCGCCATCGCGAGCTATTGAGAGGGGCGTTGGAAGGAGTGGCACGTCAGTTAGCGGTCATTGGGCTGCCTTCCCGCCATCACGAACGCCAATCGAGTGCGCTCACGGTGAACCGGCAAGCCGAGGACATACATTGATAGCGATCCATGGCGCGCGGTTACCACCAATCTTGATCAAATCCGAAGCACAACAAAGAGTCAAAGAAGCGTGCTACGAATCAGGCATCCCGGCCATGTCAACCAGAGTGAGACCGGCACAGGCAAGTTGTTCCCATGATCGGACCCCGAGTTGTTGCGGTGTGTGATGCGAACGATCAAGATGTGTTGGCACAGGATATTGAAGCCACGTCCTTCCGAAAACACACACGCGCGCATACAGAGCACGAACAGCAAAACAAAACCAAGCACCATGATACGACCATCCTGTGGCAGGAGCCATGGTCCAGTCCCCGCTGGCGCTGCCGTTTGCAACCGCCATGCGAGCACACGTACCGATGCCCTTGGAGCGCGAGTTAAAAAAAAAGCGGGGGTCAGACCAACGCTCAACCATACGTTCGCACCCCCTTCCTGGGAGGGAGGGCGGCGATGTCAGCCGAGTTGAAGTTAGAGGAGTGTATTGAGTTTATGATCTTCATGCGTCGAGTTGGACTTTGGACGAAGTTAGAGAGTTGGGTTTATGAAGCAATAACAAGAGAAGATGTAGATATCATAGTGTGTATTGTGATAAAAGATGAATAGAAAAGTATAGTTGGGGTCGATGTCATTTCTAGGATCCAAGGGTGTCCTGCTGTTCACCGTTTGACCCCTTTTCTTCGTTATAATCGACATATACCTATGATTTAACGACGGCTTCCCCGACATCAAATCCACACCAATAAGCTTACTTAAAACTTCAATTCTTCAAAAACCCATCATTTATCTGCATCTTCCTGATAGCCCTCTATCTCGTACGTTATAAAAGGAGCTGCTCACCAACCTCTGCCTCAGTCGCTGCCTTTAGCTCAATCTCTAGCCTTCTCTCTCGTTCATCGCGTCTCTCTGACCTTCCATTATTTTGTCGTTCAATCTCATCGTCCTTGTTCTCCCTCTCTCCGCCCATCTCTCCCCATCTCTTCATCCCCGTCTCTATCTCTGACTCTGCATCACTGTCTCTCCTCTCTCTCTCTCACTCTCCTTGTTCAACAGCAGCTCCTCCTCCTCCTCCTCCTCCTCATCAGCTACAGGGCGCCGACGCTTCCTGCTCATCGTCGTCGTCGTCGTCGTCGTCACCGTCGTCGTTGTCGTCGTTGTTGTCGTTGCTGAGGCGGTTGCGGCTGGTGGTTGGTGGAGCGTGGAGAGTGGCTGGGCGTGGCTGGTGGCCAGTACGTCTTGGCTCGTGGCCTCGACCCCCACCCGGCTCAGCGATTCGTCAAAAGCGCATTGGAACACTTGGTACTGCCCCGAGCGGGTGCCCGCGCCCGTGCTTGCGCTTGCACCTCTCCACGAGCAGGCAGTGTAGAGGCGTTGTGGCGAGGCTGGCGAGACTGACTGGTCGGCTGGCTGGCTGGCGCGCCTCGATCCGGTTCCTGGACCAGGAACCAAGGTGGGCGGCAGATATTTACATGGCCAGCCCCTGCGCCGCTGCTCCTCCGCGTCCAAAACTGGCCCGTGGCCCTTCAGTGGGTCGCCAGCTGACCTTGTCCTAGCTACCTTGGCTCGCACCTTGGTGCACGCCTTGGCAAGGCCCATCTGACTTCTCGCAGCATCTTTCGATGTGTTGCCTCTTTCGGCCGACAATCTGCGCGCTTCACGTTCTGCCCAGGCCAGGACATGATCCACAAAGGCCAGCTGGCTACATGATTCCAGTCGCTGCCTCTACCACCCCTCTCCTCGACAGCTGCCTCTAAGCAACCGGGTTACCTGTATTGCGGTCTCCCTCTCCGAAAATGGACTTTGAGGAAACGCTGCAAAACAGCGCCCTCTTGCGACAGGGTTACCTCACCAAGCAAGGTCCGCCTCTTGCTACTCCCCCGCCACTTACTTGATCTCATCTTTCCACCTGCCCCAAAAGCGGCCTCTCACCATTCTTGCGCCATTGGCTTTGCTTCACCTCAAAGGTGGCTCGATCAAGACCTGGCGCAAGCGGTTCGTCTGCATGCTTGCTCCCGCAAATCATCACAATCTTGCTGTTGCTAACAAGCGCCATCCGTCGTGTTCCTCTCTCCCCTGCACCTCACCTCTCTCTCAGCTGGTTTGTGGTGACCCACAATGAAGAGTACCTGAGTTTCTTCTATTTCAAGGCACCGCCTCAACTCCATGCACCATCGACCAAGCGCTCCAAACCTCTTGGTCAGGCTGGTTGAAGGCAACACATCGAGTCGACGGCGCACCACGCGCCTTTCAAGTCACCGCTCACGCTGTTACCTCGCCCCGCTGCTCCTGTGAATGCACGTCGTTAGGGAGTTTTGCCTTGCGCGTGGTGGAGTGCTTTCGCGTCCTCGAGCCCCCGGCCTCACCATTGTCCAAGCCCGTCATGGAGGTGATCACGCCCCGTCGCAACTATCAAATGACCGCCGATAGGTTGGTAGCCCTGATTCTTCGATTGCTCCAGCAAGCCAAGTCTCTTTCCTCGAGGGATGCCTTCACCCTTGGTGGTCATGCTTGCAGTGAACAGGAGCTCCGTGAATGGGCGTGGACCATAGAGCGCTCCATCGGCATTCTGCGGGAACAGGTCTGTTTTGTAAATCGCCGCGTGCCTCTGCTTGCTCTCCATCTCATTGCAAGCGGTCATCATTCTCACTGACACGGTTTGCATAGAATTCAAGCCAATTGTCCGTTTCTGCTCCGCTCTCGCGATCTGGCTACCTCAAAAAGCGCGGTGGCAAGCGCAGGAATTGGAAAACTCGCTGGTACGTGGGCGCCATGTCAGGCCGCCTCCGCCACACCATCTCACATGTGTCCCGTGTTCGGCGTATGATGCCCTCTTCGCAACCCGCGGCAGGTTTCAACTGGAAAATGGCCGCTTCGAATATTTTAGCATTCGTGAAAATGCGGGCGCGCCCCTGGGAAGCATGGACTTGAGTGATATCCAAGAGGCCACCCGTGTCTTTCACCCCGAGTTGCAGTTTCAGTTTCACATCCGAACCAACGTAGGTTATTATTTTTTTTTTTTTAAATCTTCTTTCAAGATACTCGTGTCTCAGCGCCTCACTGCGTCATTGCTCATCGTGGTCTGCCTGCCAATGGGCCGCTGCCTTGGGTGCAATCAGAAACGAGTGTACATGCTACGGGCTCCTAACGAGGGCGAGCTCCTGGACTGGCTTCGGACTCTCGAGCGAGCGGGCTGTTTGGTCGGCACTGCCGATGCCTCATCGGCCACCATGTTTTACGATGATGTTGGCGATTCCGACTCGGACGATGACGGCAGTTCTACTGCCCTTGGCGCTGCCTTGTCTGCGGTACGCATGCTCTATCAGCGCCCCACTCAGCCAGACAGCGCCCTTCTTGGCCACGATCGCCGCTCTTTCTTTGGTGCTTGCAAATCGCGAGATGGCCCTGAACTGTGGCTGCCAATCGCCTCACGCATCTACCCCCGCGCCAACGTCTGCTTCCCTTCATGCCTTCCAAAGATTGCGGACCGCGCGTCACCCGATGTCAAAGACAACTCCCCTGATCGCCAGGTGCGCAATCCTCTTTTCGTTTGCCCCCTCCCCCCGTTACTATGCCGTGCTGCCACTCCCTTCCTTCGCCACTTCCCCACTTTTTAGTTTCTAAATCTTCTCAAATGTTGTTGGTGTAGAGTGGCCTCGTCAAGCATCGTGCACAAACGGCGGCAGTCACCTATGGCAATCTGGCCGCGCCCGTGAGCGACCTCGACTTTAGTACCTTCGACTCCTTTCAAGATTTGCATAAGTATCTTCAGCCCCAATGCCTGGTTGTTGCTGGTCTCAAGGGAGCCGGCCCTGGACCTCGTACTCCAACCCTCGCTCGCGCTACAGTACCCGATGAAGCCACTCGCATGCCGCCCGGTGATGTGACCGTGAGTCTCGAAGGAGGCAAGCGACGCTCCGTCACCCTCCGTACCACCATGGATGATAACGTGCCTGCGCGTGCTGCCACCCTTACTCCACTCAACGAAGCCCCTCATGCATTCGACGCGGCCGCCAATGTTGCCTCCCGCGACCCTGCAAGAATGGGTGCCGCTGCCGCTCGCTTTGCGCGCACCAACCCGCAAGAGTGTCAGCTCTCAAGCTCGGGTCGCCGCCTTTCACGTTCCGCGCAGGACATCCGCGCGCCCTCGGCCGCGGCCAGCCTCGCCAGCACCGCTGACGACGCCCCACCTGACCGAAGTCGAAGTTTCAGCCTCAATAATCCCTTCAATGTTGACGAGCTTCGTAAGGCTGGTTATCGTCCAGATGCCAGTCTCGGCCATTCGCCTGCGTAGCAGCGGACCCCTCTCTCTCCGCCCCCATGCCAGTTTGTCTGACTCAGCTCGACGTGTGTTCTTGAATCTCGTTCTTCTCTTGAAACATGCGTGCTTTTTTCCTGCTTTGGTCCGGGTCAAAACTTCTACATGCCCCCAGCCGAGCAAAAGGCTGTCGTGTGTGTGTGTGTGTGTGTGTGTGTAGCTGTCCTTCATTCATTCGCATTTTTAACCCAATTCGTTGTTTCAATCCATCTTGGTTTATTCTGCTCTGACAATCTGACGAGTGCGGTACGACCACCTATCCTTTCAATCCAACCGTCTGACGGAAGATGCGGTCATGTGCCTGTTCGTCATCACAAAAGTCAGCGCACAGATGATGCGATTCCAGCCACGGGCCATCCTTCTGGTCATCGCTTTAAGCCAGTCGCCCGTGCAGCATTCAGGTTCGTTCCAAGTATCAATGTCTTCTAGCACGCGGTTGAGGCGTGCAGGGCTGCCTCGTGCAGGCGGGCTAGCACGCTGGACCCCTGCAGAAACACACCAATGCGCATGGGCACCAGCCATGAGTGAAGGCGAGGAGCAGGCATAGCTGTCGGGATGTCGACAAAGAGCGCAATGAGTGTATGGCAATGTACCGTCGACAGTCGTTTGCACGCCTCGCTCGACTGTCGGCGCGATGTTGGCGTTCCACAGCCCGGTGCATGATGTCGCTTGATGGAGTTGAAAAGGGAATGCTTGCGCGAGCGAAAACTATCGCCGGTGCGACGACGCGGGGCCCGTGGGGTGGGTTTCTCGGCCCAGGCCACCTCGGACAGTATTTGGTGAAATCGTGTGTGTGGGCCTGCAACATACCCGGCCAGGCAAACGTGAGCACTCGCAATGTTATACAGCGGGCATCATTGTTGCGGTGATGGCGAGGGACCGCTGCACGCACCGTAATTTGGAGGCTGGTGTCTGGCAAAGGAGACAGCATGGACACTGTCATAGGGGACAGACCCTCGCCGAGAGGTCGTGGAGGACATGCCTGTGACCGAGGGTACTCTGCTATCCGTGCTATGTCGACTCGGTCGGTGCGACGCTACTTTGACAAACGGGGCCGCCTGCTGCTGGATGGGAGTGTAAGGGCGAAGGTGAGCGGGGAAATGGCTTCAGCCCAGAATATCATTCGGACGTGCGCTTGTGACATGGGATACATACACGAGTTGAGAGGTGAGAAGATCGTCGCGACTTGGCTTCGACAGCCTGCTCAAAACCATCATCCCATTCGAGGTCTGAGTGTGGATCCTGCGTCAATAGCAACTTGTCAACGGCCGCGTCCACTTGCTGCTGGGCATTCACCTCCTCCCAGCCAGCCAGTTGCAGACGGATACTGTCGCGCAGTCGCCTTTTCTCGTTCAGCGCGGCATCAATACTGTTGGTTCGCTCCGTCCGCATGCCCTTATCCTCTGCAAAATCAGACGAGGCGTGTGGCTGCCGCACCAAGGTGTTGGTGTGTTCAGAATCTGCGCCAAGCCTATTGACGCAAGGCAGCTTGGTCCCTGGCCTACAGCTAGTGGTGCTGCCGACTTTGGCGACAGGGTCCGTGCTTCCTGGCCTTCTTGCCGGGGGGTCGGTAGCACTGAGAATTAGACTAATCTCCGAGCCCGTGCCAGATCCAGGAATTGAGGGGGTAAAAACGCGCGAAGAGTGGGCCGAGTCGCAGCGCACGCGCATGCTGTGACCGCTACCTTGGGCCTGGATCCGGGCCACCGCCGCGCGCTGTTGAAGGATGGCCAGAGAGCGAGATTGCGCATACGGCGTTGTGCCTTGCTCGTCCACCAGCGAGGAGCAGGAAGACCGTGCCAACTCAGCCTGACGGATTTGCAACGCGCGTGACAAGCTGCTTCCGTTCGTTCCTCCACTAGACCGGACTAGGGCGGTGCCACCGGGGCGTATGGCAGCTGGCAGGTTAGTGGTGTGGGCAGAATGCACGTGGGAAATGAGGCCAAGATGATCTGGTTCAGGGTTGTTGGGCGTGGCTTGCTCATCTTCTCCTTGCTCCTCGTTGAGCGGCGCCAGGCTTGATCGTTGGGAGCGACGCATGGTCCGACGATGAGAGGCATTGGAGGAAGCTGAGCTGGCTTGGCTGAGTTTGCGCAAGGGCTGGCCCAGGGCCGCTTCAAGCTCTTCGAGCCCAATGACCGTCACACCTTCGCCCTCCGAGGAGTCAGAGAGAGCCACGGGCGGACGGGTGTGGCCGCGTCGGATGGTTGGCGAACGCCCATCGTATTCTATTGAGGGCGGGTGCGGATGCGATATGGTCATGAGTTGGTGTCAAGAGGGCAGGGGGCTCTACTGGGGCAGCTCGCCCCCCTCACAAGCAACTTTGGCAAACGAACCCGTGCGCAGGGGATGTGCGCGAGGAGGTAGCTGCGGTGGATGCTCGCGGCGAGGGCTGCGTGGGCCGGGGGTGCTATAGAGAGCATGGGCGTCCTCCAACCGCTGCTGTTCGGCCTGGGCATCACGGCGGATGTCTGAGAGATAGCGACGTTGGCGCTCTAGGCGTTGGCTTGTCGAGTCGATGGAACCGCGAATGCTTGCGTAGGGGTTGAAGGAGTGGGGGTCAGGAATGGGTGAGTCGGCGTCCCCCTCACTTTCCCCACCACTTATGGTTTGATAGCTGGAATCCGCGGTGTGGTCTGTCACATCAAGCATGTTCCGAAGAACGAGAACAGCCGAGCCAGGGACGGCCGGCAGGGGTCCCTGGCGACCGTTCTGGACCAAAGCTGGAGAAGTGGGCATGCCGCTGTCATGTTGACCGGTCTCCTCAGCGAGCGATTCGGTGATGCGGGTGGCACGGCGCAAACGTTCGTTCTGGTACGAGTTTGGCAGCCGGTCCCAGGTGCTGGTTGAGGCCGTTTCCACCTGCACAGACCCAGGGCAAAAGGATAGGTCAGTCACCATGGATTTTCGCCAGTAGATGTGGGATGCTGTCTAAAAGTGCGTGGGGCAGGGCAAGCCGTACTTCATAGATGCAAGTGCCATCGGCGCTAACACGCGAGCTCTTGCGTCTGCAGGCGGTCAAAGGCAAAGTACAAGGGATGAGCAGCATTCTGGTGCACAACTCCAGTGCACAGCGTGAAGAGGACCCGCTAGAGAGGCTCTTTGGACAAAGCGCGGAAGAAACGGGACGGGGCGCTCAAACATGTGTTTGTTCACCTGGAATGCCGCTGCCGCCGGCTGCTCGCATGGCAGCAGCGAAACATGTTACGACTAGAGCGGGAGGTCGATATGGGCAGCCCTTTGGAGAAGGAGTGTTGGCAGCCGTGGTCACGTTCGCTACGGATGAAACCTTGCCAACAAGGAAATGGGTTGTTCAGGTTACTTCTGCTGCGGGTTCCTGAGAAGGGGGCAGGTAGCAGATCTTGAGGTGCCGCTTATCTGCGACTCGGACGCGAGCTGGCTCAGCGGAAGCAAACGGCAACGGGCCCCGTCGAGCGCTGCACGGCATCAGAGAGTGGCGAGAAGGAGGTTGGTCAAGCATCAAGGTCCCGCGTGCGTGGGCTTGAGGATCAGATGCAACAGCGCCAAGTCCCCGCTATCCACATGAGAATCAGAATCCCACCGCGACCAAACCACACCCGCAAAGTGGGCGGGAGAATGGCACATCGTCCAACACCCACAGCAAACCATGGTGATCATTCAGGTAGGCAACAAGAAAAACCAGACAAAAGCACGAAGCAAGCCAGCCCAGATCATAGGGGGAAGCAAAGAGAGCGGAGGAAGGAAGGAAGGAGGGAAGGAGGAGGTAACGAGAGAGAGGGGCGGGCAGGAGGAGGGTCCGATACACGGGGACGGAAAATGTAGGAATGTGACTTGAGCGGACAAATATGGTCATTATTATCATCATACCCCTCGTAAGTAAACGATATGTTGCTTGTAAATAGTATGACAATATGTTCTGGTTGGAGGGGTGTAGTTTACTTTGAGGATGTTTGTGAAGAGGCGAAGGGAGTGAGTAGTAAAGCGAAACAGCGAAACAACTTTCCGTCACATCTCTTCGTTGGCTTTGATTTATGCTTGTCATGTCTCTCAAACTTTCGTCTCTCTCTCTCAAACTTTCGTCTCTTTCTCTCTCTCTCTCTCTGCGTTTTCTTCTCCGCTTCCGCCTCTCAATCTGTCCGTGGGCGGGCGGTGGGGTGGATCTGGCGGGTCGGGAACGTGAGTTGTGCGGTTGGAAAGAAGCGACGTGAGAGACATGGCCAGCAAGGCGACCGGCTGGCAGGTGCGTTTGCGTTACCCAGGCTTTCTGCTTTTGGTCACTCACTGTGTGAACCGTTTCCAATTTGCTGTTGAGACGTTGGGATCTGGACTGACTGATGGTGCCCAATCAATGCATCCAGGGTGCGGCCGGTGGCAAGGCCAAAGCGGCGGGTGGTCGCATCGGCGGTCGTGGTGGAGCCACCATGGGTCGAGGAGCTGCGTTGGGGGGACGTGGCGGCGTGGCCGGAGCCCGCGGTGGCGCAGCCGGGGGCCGCGGCGCCAAGGCCACGTTGGGACGAGGCGCCAGCATGGGATCGGGCCGTGGAGGAGGTCGCGGCGGAGCGGCTGCTGGTGCTGGGACGGGATCAATGCCCTTGACTGGGGCCCGGGTTGGACCAGGTGGCAGCGCGACACAGCGTGGGCCTGCTGGTGGCAAAGCGGCCTCGAGTAAAGCAGGATCCACCAAGTCCAACAAGGTGACATCTGGCAAGGCAAGCTCCAGCAAGGGGGCAGCTTCCAAGGCGACCGGAGCCGGAGCCGGTGGTCGTGCGGCTCCCAGCAAAACCGGGGCTACGGCTGGTGGAGCTGCCAGCGGCAAGAAGCGTCCGGCGTCAAGCAGCCAGTATGTTGCAACCTTCAGCAGCTCGTCCGATTTAAATCTGCCTCAGCTTTCTGCCTTTGCTCACCACGACTGACCTTTGTACGGCAGGAGTAGCACACCCCCGTCGAAGACCAGCAAGTCAGCGGTGAGTTGATTGGCCGCGGCCCAAACATGTCGGCGACTCGTGAGCAACGGTGCTCACGGTCTGCATCGCTTTGAACATCCTTGCGCATGTTAGGGAGGAGGCAAATCCAAGGCGTCCAGTGCTGCCCATGCCGCCTCCACCAGGTGAGCCTCCGACTTCAGGGGAAGAGGCATGACCTTGTCTGTTTGTATGCCACTCAGAAATGCTGGCTCCACTCACTCGGTCTCATGTCAAGCAGTGCCAAGTCGGGCGACAGCCAGGTGGCTGATCGTGCTGGTGACAATTATCAAACGGAAATTACTTTTATTGTGTAAGCGATGCGGTTGCAGCCTGCATTGCACGTGTATCGCACTGACAAGTGCCCCTCACTTTGTGCCGGTCAACCACTGCTGCACGGTCCGCGCCAGTAAAAAGAACCACAACCATGGCAAGGTGCAACCAGAGGCACTCCTGTTGATAGAGGATTGCCTGCGCTGCTTCATGAAGCAATTGGTCTGTGTATTTGCCTTCAGTCACCCTCAGCCTTCTTTTTTTTTTTTTTTTTTTTTTTTTTTTTTCCCGTTACTCAGCAAAGGGTGCATCATGGTGTTCACGCTTCACTCATGTGCCTTTTCTGCTCTTTGTCTGACTGCTATTGCCTCCGGTAGCTGCATGCTGCACGCGATGCAGCAAGGCTGCGAGGTTCGGCCTTGGTGGGTGCGACCGACATGACCTTTTCGCTTCGGCATTGTCCAGCATGGCTGGCCCGCATCTCGCAGCTGCTGTCCTTCAAGAAAACGGTCTGTATGCATGGTAGCTGACCCCTCTTGCGTCTCCATCGGGCCACGACTGATCATCCAATTCCAACTGCGTAGTTGCGTGATCAGCGGTGTCGCGGACAGCATGGTGGCGTCCCTCAGCAAGGTGCAGTTTGCTGTTCTTTTGCCCCTTTTCTTGCCTCGTGTCACCCTGTTGCCTGCCGGGAGGCTCAGTTTGATGGCATGCCCCACATTCTTGGATTCTGTAGACTGGCTGCGTGATCCTTGGAACGAGGCCACCGAGCTCACGGAGTTGGCCATGCCTAACGGTCGCATGCCGTTCCCGCCGGTACGTTCAACCTGGCGCCTTACAAGCACAGGGGCCGGGTTCAGACTACGCATGCGTGGGGTGGTCGATTGTGCTGGTGTGCCCGACTGGGCGTTGACTGAGGGGACACTTGTTTGTGCTGGCAGGACGTGCTCAAGGAGGCGGTCCAAGACCGCAACCTATTTTTTTCAACATCACTGGATCTCAAGGAACGCGCCTTTCGCGAATTCGTGCCGTATCGCAACAAGGCTTCTTTCATCTGTATGTTTGGTCTCTTCTCATGGCCCTGAAGGGTTGCACATGCAGGCCTGAATAGCATCCAGTGTTCGGCCGATCCTCCATCTTGAGCTTACTTTGTGTGCTTCCTGCAGTTCGAAAGGTGGAGCGGTTTGAGGCTTGGCTCAAGACGGCCATGAACTCGCCAGTGGAGCTGGCAGATGAAGCCATGGAGGTTTGTTTGTGGTTGTTGTTGCTTTGGGCGGCAGGCCTGGTGGTGTGAATACAGGTACCAGATGACACATGATATCATCAGTTTTATGCACCGCATGGGAACTCGACTCGCTCGCTCTCGCGGCTTGAATTTTCTAGATGTCTGCGCACCTGTGCGGCGAGTATTGCGCCAAATTGGTCCGACTTGCATCACGCATTCAGGTATGAGTCAATTCCCTTTTCTCTCGCCGTTGATGCCGCACACTCTGGCGGCGATGGCTGAGGTTGGTTGGTTGGTTGGTTGGTTGGCTGTCTGTGGCCGGATACAGAATTTGATCCTGCAACAAGACAAGACCGAGGCGGATGCAACTGCCCCGGTTCCAAGCAGCGCCATAGCAAGTGTTGCCCCTCAAGGTGAGTGCTTGCTGCAGGCTTGCAAGCTGGCATGTTGTGATCCGCCCTGACGCCCAAACTGGACGCCCGCCCGTGCAGCAGGTGGCCCTCCCACCATGGCCTTGCAGGCCGCCATGGTCGCTGAAGCCAGTCGGCGCCTCGATATGAGCAACTGGTTCCATCTCCGTCCAGCGCCACTCCATCTGTGATTGTAGAACTTTGACGTGCTTTTCTGTGAGAGATTTCGCTGCTCGCACTGTGTGCCTCCTTTTAGCCGAATCTCGCCTTTTGAGTTTTGAACAATTATAATTCATCTGAGCTACGCGCCATTGCCTCTCATCTCCAACCGCCCCCGGCTGAAATTCAGACGTGGCAACACAAGCACATGTTCCACAAAAAGCGACGGGCACCGACTTTTGCCCGCGGACTGCACACTACGTACACACGTGCCAAGCGTAAAGAAGTGTGTAACGGAAGAGAGCCAAATGCAACATGAAATGAAAATGGGTGAAGAATGGATGGAATGTTATGGAGAGAGTTGAGAGAAGTTAAGAGAGATTGAGAGAGATTGAGAGAGATTGAGAGAGATTGAGAGAGATTGAGAGAGATTGAGAGAGATTGAGAGAGCTGTTGAGATATTTAAAGAGAGATTGAGAGAGGTTGAGAGAGGTTGAGAGATTTTGAGACAATATTGAGAGAATTTAAGATCCACGCCACACGGGTCCGCCCCTTTTTTGTTCTGCTGCTGCTTGTGAGGGCGGCGGTCGTCACGGATTGATGATTTGACGGGACTTAACCCGAAGACCAGCTCCTGTCCATCCGTCCGACTGTCTGGCTGTCTAGCTGCCTGGCTGTCTGGCTGTCTGTCTGGCTGTCTCGCTCTGTGCGTGAGAGTGTCTACTTCTCTATGTGAACGGGTGGTGGCAGTGCCTTTCGCTCCCTGCGTAAGTTTCTTCATGATCAGTCGTCACACTTTCTCTCTCTCTTCGCTCTCTCTCTCTCTTTTTTGCGCCATCGCGCGATGTCTCATGTGGTCCGATTTGACCAAATCTGCCCCCCGCTGTCGCGCTTAGACCTGCCTCTTGTCATCCGCGCGCAGGGCATCTGCGCATACCCGTTCATCAGGCGAATTTGACCGTTTTTGACGACGTACGTCCCCACCCTTGATGCGGGCCTAGGCCTACAACCAATCGTCCCATCAGCGCTGCCGCTTGCGCGCTGCTGCTCCCTTGAGATCCTGCTTTTCGCGCTCGCCTTTGCTCGCCTCTGCCGTTCATGTCCTGGCTCGATCAGTCCACCGTTTGTCGTGGTCTTATAAGCGCCTTTTAATGCCTCCCCGCCGACGCTCTCACGATGATGGTGCCTCTCGCTACTCACTGTAGGCGCCATGTCGCCTACAATCATCTTGATTGTGTCCGTTGTGGGCGGTGTGGCCTTCCTGGTGGCATGCGCCGTCACCTGGTACTGGTTGCACATGCGCAAAATGACCCGAGCTTGGAAGGGGGAGGACGAGCATGACGAGGAAGCGCGCACGAACAAGGTCAAGAAGAAGGCCAGTAAAAAGCCGCAAAAAAACCCACCGTCCGCCGAGGTAGCAACG